ATTGTAATGAAGCAACAAAATCGGGCTGAAGAAGCCGTTGAAGCTATTAAATCTTTGAGAAGTAGGTGTTCAGATCAAGCACAAGAAGCTCTTGACAACATTCTGTTGGACCTATACAAGGTCTGCTTTCATTTTCAATGTGCAAAAAGCTTTCATTTTTTCTTCTGAATTCTGCCTATCGATAACAATCTGTAAAACTGTGATACCTTCAGAGATGTGGGAGATTGGATGACCAAATAAAGCTGTTGAGGCACAAGTTGTTTTTGATACAACAAGGTTTGGCCTTTAATGGAAAGCGAACCAAGACAGCGAGATCCCAGGGGAAGAAGTTTCAGGTTTCTGTGGAGCAAGAAGCAACTAGATTACTGGTAAATAACACAATTCTGAGACATTTTAAATTCCTAGTCTTTTGGTCTTACACAATAGTATAAGATAAAAATCAATTCTTTTTATATATCTTCCAGGGGAATTTAGGGTGGGCGCTGATGCAGCAAAATAACTACATTGAAGCAGAAGATGCTTATAGGAGAGCACTAGTAATTGCACCAGACAATAACAAGATGTGCAATTTGGGCATTTGTTTGATGAAACAAGGGAGAGTTGGCGAAGCGAAAGAGACACTTCGGAGAGTTAAACCAGCAGTGGTAGATGGCCCTAGAGGTGTAGATTCCCATCTCAAGGCCTACGAAAGAGCACAACAAATGCTCCGTGATCTCGAGTCTGAAATGATGAATAAAGGTGGTGATAGAATTGAACAAAGCAAGCTATTTGATGCATTCTTGGGCTCTTCTGCTATATGGCAGCCTCAGCCTTGCAAGGAACATAATAGCAGCACTTTGAGTAGTAATGCCAAGTCAATCCAACCTCAAGATGAATTTGCTAATGAGAACATCAATTCTACTAACATCATTACAAACCAGACAGTTCCTTCACTGCAAAAGAGCATGTTGAAACCATATATGAACCTCAATATCGACGCTCCACCATTTTATTCATCCAAGATTATGAAAGAGCCGGCGAGTACCCTGTTACCAGAAGGTCTTAAAAGAACAAGATCTGGAAATGCAGCTAACTTTATGAGAAAAGAGTCTCAGGGAACATTCAGAGAACCAGAGAATAAGATGAGAAAGCAGTCAATTTCACCAGAGAAAACAGAGGATAGATGGGCAGGATTGCTGCCTGATAGCAAGGATTTTGAAGAGGCTATAATTGCTGCTGCTCTGGGCTCAAGTGAAGAAACATTCAAGCCTAAAGATAGTGGAATCCCTCCAAGGAAAGTTGACAAAAGATTGAGGGTTTTTCAAGACATTACCTTGTCTATGAGTCCACGAGCCTGACTAACATTATTGATTTTTAACTATGATTAGTAATCTAATTGCATTTTTAAATTAAGTAAGATCATTGATTTTTAACAATCATTGGAGATAAACTTGTTCTCCTTTACTCATACTTCCTCAAGGAGGTCGTCTGCAGTATGTTGGTAACACCCTAATGTCTTTAGGCAGGGTATAATTATTGTTATTTGGTGCCTTTGGAATTCAGACATCTTTTATTTTTGCCTATATGGCAACTAATCTTCAATAAAAAGTTATTTCTTCTTTCTCATGTAATTGGCTTAGTTTCTGTTCTCTTTTCTGACCAGGTTTGTCACTCTCCAAGTGGTATGCAAAATGTCACGCAATCTATGAACAATTCTTGCTCAATCAGGAATAATTGAACAACGGAATTCTGAATACCAACGACACATTTTTATATACCAAGATTTATTATGTTTGAGTAGATTACACACTCAAGTTATTGATGAAACAAGGAGATTATACACCAAGATTTATTATTTAATGAATAACGAAACATGGAGCTATTCAGTTTCCAGTCTCTTGTGATCAGTTTTGGTTTCCAATTTATTACTTCTATTGAGTTCACCACCAATGTTACTGGAACTGCTGTGACGAATGCTTACTAGCTCTCCTCCTGTGGATTAGATAGAAGAAACTGAATATTACAACAGCGGCTGCAACAGCAACTCCAACAGCCCTTTGTGCCACCGGGGTGTTCTTCACTGCTAACGTTCCTTTTTCCAATGCGGATCTGCCTTTTTCCAATGTAGATCTGAAAAATGATGAATGTGGTAATCCAAGCTCAGAGAGCTTCTTGTGTGACTCTTCGTAGTCCCTGAAGAAAGCCTTTTGGTCCTGTCACATAATTAAGTTTAAAGTAACAGAACAAGTATCAATTATTACAGAAAAAGTTTTGAGTGAGACTGTTTAGCTAGAGAAAAGTTAACAATTATGCAGCTCTTTTGGCCACAGTAGATGTGCATACTGTTTTTTTATAGGTTGTAGATGTTCATACTGTTAAATTAGAAGAAAGCTCTAAAACAGCATTGTTGCTTTATCGTGATACAAGCAATTCCATTCATTTGCTCACTGTCACTCATGATCTGAGAGCCTGGATCGGTCATACCATAGGTTCAGTGCCAGGAATCTCACAGTAAAACACCTCCCTAAGTTACAACATATTCCAGTGGCATTCCCATCATGTGGGGTTTTATGCTTATCAAACCACCAAAAGGACATAATGGTCCGCAATATTTCATAACAATCAATGTTGAGACGTGCTGGACTTATCATCCATGTGAGTTATAGCAGCTCTGATACGAGACCAAAAGTTGCAGGGTGGTAGGTCGCATGTATCACAAACATGAAAAGATAAAATCTCCAGTTACTTAGCTGGTCTTGCTGGTTTTATAGTGTTACTTTCCTTCTTAAATGACGCAAGTTGTATGATGACAGTTGTGTTGCAATAATTGAACTATGACAATCCACATGGTATGAGCTATATTAACAATACCTTTTCATAAAGTAGCACATAGCTGTGGAATTTTGGATCCTCAAGTAGAGCTTTATCAGAGGGAAGTTGCAAGAGACCTGAATCTTGCTTGAGGAGCTTCCTGAGAGATCATAGTACCATTTGGGCAAGTAAAAATGAGAATTTTTCTTTTTAATCAATGGCAAAATATAAAGGAAGTCAGAATGTATAGTAAATCATACACAAAGTATGAGTTATCAAATTTAGGGCCCTCAACTCCAGAGCTCTTTGAATCAGCCCTTGCAGCCTGCAGCAACACACAAAAAAATTAAAGGAAAATTAAGACAAACTGCATTTATGTGTGAGAAATATCAATATCTTGATGCAGATCCATATTATATACTAATACCAGTTTGAGGCCTGCAGATAATGCCACTATATCCTTGTCTTCAGAAAGTCCGATGCTGTGAAAGATGTCCCTTAATTCTTTTGGACCTAAAAAAGCGTCCAAAAGAGGAACAAAGTAAGCGATATAAGACGTGCGGAGAAATACAACACTGAGCCCTAGAGCACTCAGAAATTTATATCAAATATTATAATTTCTCCAGGGTTGCTGATAACAGTTTTAACTATATTCACAATATTAGCAATCCAATCCAGTTCACGGTCACTGTTTATTATATTCAAGAGCTTCACCAGTTGGAATATGCTTTTGTTTTTTCAAAAGTTCTCCTAAGAAATAAATGGAGTTGCAAGTAGAACACACTTAGAAGACTACGCAATTAGTGCAAATCACAAAGCAAGTAAGAAACTGTCATCTCCAAGATTATCAACATGTAACCGTATAGATGCAGAACGAAGCTAAGAGAAATAAATGGAATGATAAAGCTTCATTTATGCACTGAATCAAATCTTTATTAGTTTAAGTAAAATGAATGATCAGCAAAGTCAACACTTTTCAGCTGAACAACCTTGTTTGCCATCAGGAAGGCACCCTTCATTTGGTGAAATTGATGAATCCTAGTATAAATTAAAGGTGGAAGTTAGTACTGAATATAAGTAAGTTCATTTACATGGGTTTAAACTTTATAATAAATAAAAGAAGTAATTAATTTTTTATCCTTCCTTTGCATACCTTTCTACCAGGGATGAATTCGATTATTGGACCGCCAAGTGCTTTAACAGCAACAACCCCAGCAAGCTGCACTCCCAAATAAAAAAGGTATTCCACTAATTATCACACAAAATTAAGCAGCCCCTTCTCTGAAATGTTAGCAGCCTACCCTGATGCAAGCATCAAGCTGATTATACGGCTAAAATCCGTGACTTATAAATCACACTGAGACAACTTGATTGTTGCTCTAAGGCTCCCTTCCTTCTCCAAAATGGACTATAAATTATCAACATAACAAGTATCTCACCTGATAGAGGTCAGGATAAGTTATTGTGGGGTGATTGACCTTGATATTTTCTGCACTCCAGATAAAATATATATAAGGCATTAATTAATTATAAGTTAGTATTAGCAAAAGAACCACCCGGTTTATCTTTGGACAAACAACAACCCAGTAAAATTCCACTAGTAGGGACTGGGGAGGGTAGCGTGTACGCACACCTTATCCCTACCCTAAAGAGTAGAGAGGTTGTTTCCGAAAGGCCCTCGGCTCAAGAAAAGAAAAAGACAAAAGGAGACAATATTAGTATCACTACAGAAATCATATGAAGAATAGACACAACATGAAATCCAGAAGAAAGATGGAAAGCATAGCTAGTAAATATGTCCTGTACTGAAAAGCGAAATAGCAAATAAAATAATAATAAATAAATAAAAACCTACCAGACTAGTCTCGCAAAAATACAAAGGCAAGACTCAACTACCTCCTGACCTATAACCCCAATACTCGACCTCCACATCTTCCTATCAAGTGTCATGTCCTCGGAAATCTGAAGCCTCGCCATATCCTGCCTGATCACCTCTCTCAAATACTTCTTAGGTCGCCCTCTACCTCTTGTCATGCCCTCCACGTATAAACTTTTGTTTTTCAAAAAAAAAAAAAAAAAAAAAAAAAAAAAAAAAAAAAAAAAAAAAAAAAAAAAACTTGCTAATCCCAAGCGGATTTTCGAATAGAATCGAATGATCAACTTTTCATCTTCAAATGAAAACTCCGTAAAGGTAAGCATAACGAAACATAAACTAATAGCTGCAAGGATCCACGAGCAGGCAAAAGTGTTCATATACGACATAATTAAATATAAAAAAATGTTTTCTCTCTAGCAAGATTTTAGATGAGATGGTTACGTACTTCCCCGTGACATTATAGCACACAAAGGTCCTCTCTAACAAAAAAAGTGTGATCTCTAACAGCTTAAGCTTTTAAATGAAATGGTTACACACTTCAAACTGAAATCAATTAAGCAACAACCATTGCACTAAAAATTGATTTTATCAACGAGAATACTATAAATTTGGCATTAAAGGCTAAAAATGAAGCTCACCAATTGCTGTTCTGAGATCATTATTGGCAGCTTGAGTCTTTATTTTAGCATCAGTACTAGATGTACTACTTCCTGCATCATCAATATGAGAATTGGCGGCAGAAGAAATAGAGAATTGGCAAGCGTACGCTAAACGAAGCAGATCACGAGCACTGTACTTTTTGCTGACTATAAGATTTTGAAGCTCAATTCGTGCTTTCTCTATCTCGTTCCTATACTCTGCATCTACTACTGGTACTGCCATTGATTTATATATAATACTCAGTACTGAAACTTTATATTTGTATATGCCAATAGAGGTCGATCGTCACCAGCTTTTCTTCTAACTTTGATGAATGAATAATTTAGTGTTACGAAAGGAGGATTATATATAGAGCAAAAGGGAGGGGAATTCTATAAGCGTGAAGCAAAGAAGCAACGAATATGGAACAACAAAAGAAACGAATTGGTTATTTTGCTTCTTCTAATGACACTGAACGTGAATAACATGGAGGGGGCAAATCCGGAAATAAATCGTGCTACGTGTGGTGTGGGTCTTTTATTGGAAAAAATAAGGAATATCCGTATTACTCGATAAGGAATGAGTATAAATATTTACTACTATTTGCTAATTAAATTTGAAGGGAAAAAACTGTATATGGACTATATTGTTGTCAATAACGGACTAGAAAACCTAATGATTCCTCTATTTCAATTTACGTGAACCTGTTTGACAGGGCACGGAGTTTTAAGAAAAAAATAAGGGATTTTTACCTTCCTATACACTATTTGAAACTTTATTACCCTCCCTACTCAAGTTTCAATTTAATTACATATGCATATATAATTTACCAATTATATAAATTTTAGGAATTAAATGAGAATCAATTAACTCCTATAGTCTCGCTAACGTACATAACCCACTCCTCCCATGTTTCTCTGTCCATACCCCTACGATTCTGATACTCTCTCCCTCCATTAACGCTCTCTTCCATTGTTGTTCAAAAATCTTTTATAATCTCTCTCAAACTTTCTGATTTCTCTCTCAAAAACCTACGAAATTAGTAACAGCTTAAAATTTCCTTCCCTTATGATGAAGAAGAAAGGATTTCCAAAGAATAATCCTAAAAAAGCTAGTGTTGGTGATATTCCTACTTTTGATTTGGATATTTTCTCACAGGATTCACCCAAAAAAATAGTGGAATCGACACATGCAAAAACAGAGATAAAGTCCAAGCTTTCCCCTCGTGAAGCTAGGGCAGATGTGCGAACAAAATTCAAGCATGACAGGGACGCTGGTGAAGCTTCGACATCTGCTAAATCAGTAAAGCGGAAGGGCAAAGAAATTGCTCGTGAT